CCAACAACAACAAATGAGTGACAAAACACCACAAGGAATTTTAATCCCAAAATGATTGATAATCATTTGCAAGCCGTAAAAGAAAAAGCTTAATCACGTTCCGTTTGCTAGGTGTAAAGTCTATGCGGTATTATCAGCAACGCGTTCAGCATCATCTTCTGCTTCAGCTTCTTCATCTTATTCTTCTTATTCTTATTCTTATTCTTCTACTTCATCATTATCATCATCAGCTGCTGCGACTGGAACTGGGTTGGGTTCGGGGGCCAACCGTAGCCATTGTGCGCTGCTAATGTTTGCACTTAATTCAACAGACAATAGACAGGAAAGCTGCTGGGCGCATTTTCTTTTAGCTTTTACCTCAAGTGCTGATGAGTGCAAGGGCGTGTAGAGCAGAGTGAAGGGGGGGGGGGGGGGAATCCATTCCAAGCGGAAAACGTTGCCAGCCAAGGCGCAAAATCTAAATTATGTCGTTGCCAACTGGCAACGCATAGAAAAATGCAGCGTTTTGTTAGCATAAAGAGGCGACGATGCGCTTTTTATGAATGGCGCGACAGCACTGAGAGAAATTTAACAAGGTAAAATTTTCAAAATACAAATTAAAAAGGAGTCAAAAAGAAAGTAAGGGAGTGTAAGGTAATTGTAATTGTAATTGTAAAAAATAATAATTATATAAAAATAAAATAAAATGAAATAAATTTAATTTATAGAAACTGTTAGGAAGTTGTTTTGCTTCTTATTGTTCTGTCGATTTCTCTCTTCTCTTACCGCGTTGAAAACATACTTAATTTAAATAATAATGAAAAAATTTAATAATAATATTAATAATAAAAATAAAAATATATAATAATCATACAATAAATCTAAAATCAAAATAAATTTTTTTTGTTTTAAAGTATTTATTTGATCTTTTTTCCTTCATATTTTCCTTCTCTCTTAATTTTTGCATGCTTTTCGTGCAGTGTCGTGTATCTTTGCCTATACACCCACCCACAGTCAAACATTTGCCATATCATGTTGCACATTTGACTGCCAACAAACTGTTGTGAGTGTGTGTGTGTGCGCGTGTCTACCGCCCGAAAAGCCCCTCAGCTCCAGCCTCGTTTATTTCACTTGTATCTCATTCAACATTTAGTTAAGCGCTTTTGCATCTAAAATTTTCCATTTGCATAGCCTGTGGCAACAACAACAACAGCAACATCATTATTTTTATCCATTTAGTCTTTTGTTTGTGTTGGTGACACCTTTTCTAACACACACACAGACATACACGTATGCACACATGCACAACTATTTAACCTGCGAGTCACCTGCGCTGCATTTGGTAGTCATGAGTTTTGATGATGAGTTGAAAATTGAACAAAAGCTGATTTAAGTCATAATTTATCATGATGTTTTTGGGGATTAGTTGCGCTCAATTTAACAACTGTTTATTTTTAACACGTCCGCATTGCGCATACGCCGCATGTGACGTGCACGCTCCGGCTAATGTTTTAATTTATTGACTATCAAATGTTTGAGGCTTTTGTGTGCTTTGACTGCCTGCTGCCTACTGCATTGGTTTGTGCCGCTAAAAATGCAACAAAGCAAAGCCATATGCTGCCCCCTGCCCCCTAAAACTGCCTGTGTCCGTTCCACGACATGGCCAGCCACGCCCACAAGATGCCAAACAAAAAATAATAAAAAACTTGTTCTTTCACTTTGGCCTGCCTGCAAGCGCGAATTTTATGGTTACACCCAACCAAAAATCTCTGATGAGGATCGCGCGCGCCGCACAAGTTCTAGCGGTAAATAAAGAATTGGCCAACGATGGCAACGCCAACGCCGCGCCCACCCAGCGGCCGGGCAAAGGACCACCAAAATGATAAGTTGCCGTTCCGCTTCTTCCTTCATTTAATAAAAGTTCTTTTTTTTTGGGGGGCGCAGTTTGGATTAAGAAATTACAAGATACCCACGCAACCACAAAATAAAAATAAATTGAATTGAATTTAATTTAATTTTTTGCAACACGTCCTACACCGCCGCTCTGAAACTGAAAGGAAAGTTGACCCACTGGGTAACTGAGGTGGTGCCACAAAAGGGTCTGTCGCCTAAATCGCCCCGGGTTTGAATTAAGACATAATAAAGCTGTCCCAGCCCAAGCGTATACAGCGATTTCTCCTCTTTCCCTCTCTTTCTCTCAGTCATCTGTCAAGCGTTTCGGACGTCAGTTTTTGAACATCTTGGAACGAACACCTTTTCGGCTGGGCTGACGAACTACATAGCTGGAGGAGTAGTGTGTCGAGGGGGGGCTTGAACGATATTTTCGAATTTTCAGCGGGTACTTAAAGTTTATTACTTAATGTGCAACACACTCGAGGTGACATTTCTCAGCTCGATGTTAAGCGTACATAAGGAAATCATTCATCCGCTTGCTCGTAGTTAAAAACTTGGACAGTTCGACGCAGAAATATTGCAATTAATAGTACATATCTTAGTATATATATAGTGTGTTTAAAATTCGGCAGTCTGAGAATAAAGTTTTTGGGTTTCGGGTCTTATTTTGCGCACTAAGAGCGCGTGGTTATATCTCTGGCATATTTTGCAGTTCATTTTGTACTCGTGGCTCATTGTCTTGGCTCCCATGTGTGTGTGTGTGTGTGTTGTTTGACAAACGAGTGTCATTTATCAAAATGTGACACTATTTGCGCCAAGTCATGTGTTAACTGCACTTTATTTTATTGTTATATGTTGCCCGTGCCCAAAGGAATATCACGCCGCCACACAAAGGCGTTGCTGGCGCAGGAGCTGCTTCTTCTGCCAGCTCAACTCAACTGAACTGAGGAACTGAGCTGTCTGGCATTGGTTTTTAAAGTGCTCTCATAAAATATATATCATAATTGAGGGTTATATTCTGTTTTTTTTCTTCTTTTCGTTGGCCAAAACTTCTTAAGCGCAAAAGTTTAGCAAAGCAATTGACCCAGACACGAAGCCGTGGCATGCCTAAAGATTGAGATATGGTTAGTGTGTGCCCAGGTTTTGCTTTTTGAGACAGTTCGCCCTTTGGGCACACTTGAAGAATTGCTTGTTATTAATATGTGAGAATATATTTAGGTTTTATTTTATGGCTACTTGGGAACATTTGAATATTAATTTATTGTTGTTTATAGCTTAAATTAATGCGTATATTTTAATTCTTATTAATTTCTCAATTATTGTGTCTTATATTTATATACATCTGTTTGTATTAAGCAGACGTTTTAACTGCCTTATAGTTAAGACATTTGTTTTGTAGCAGCCCAAAAGCAACTTACACAAAAATTGTACTGTGCTTTTCAGATATTTTTATGGTTTTGTTTTCTTTTTGGGGCGGTAACTGCATTTAGTGCCAATAATATAAATATTATGATTATGCGCTCCAAACATGGGCGCAGTTATGCAGCTAAATGTTTTTGTTGTTGAGCGTGTGTGTGTGTTTCTTTCTGGTTTCCAGAGACCCGAATATCGAAAAGTAATTTCTTGCACGACATTAATTTCTTTTAAATTACGCATAATTGAAGTACTGGCCACTCGAACTTGATCGATGATCGATTCAAACTCTGGACTCAAGCTGCTCCTTGGCACTTTGATCGAAACGTATTTCTCTTGAAATTACTATATAAAAATCTTAAAAAAAAAAATGGAAAAACAACTAAAGATTGCGCCATAATTATTTAATTTCTTTGCTCTGGCGTTGGTGTTGGCTTCACTCCATATGGGGGCCAAGTTCTGGGACTGTTTGGCCAGCGTCATTGACATTCGAATTAGACACCTGACACAATAGCCTAAAGATTCGTGACTGTTTTTTGATGGTTTTGCCGTACAATCAAGCTCAGTGCGCCTCAATCAACGCATTGACTGAAGCCTTGAGTTTAATATTATTTTTGATGCATTATTTGAAATTTGATTTTGATTTTCTACATTCGTGGGCATTTAAGCTGTGCGCTTACTTGGAACATAGCCTTGTACAGGGTATTTGTGTTTAAGTGATGAAGTATGTAACAAATTGAAGAAGGCCCCATAAAGTTTATAAATGCTTTTATACAGCTGATATAGAAGAAAGTGGCTAAAAAATAGGTTGATATAACAAAAATCTTATTTACATAATAAAATCATAATAAATATCTGCAGGGTATTAAATCTTGGGTAGCCCACATAAGAAATATTTGTATTTTATTTGTTATCTGCTTTTTTTTTTGGCCGTGTGTAATTTCATATCAATTGTTGTTGTTGCTGTTGTTGGATATTTAGTTTTATTTTTGGTTGCTGCCTTTGTTAGCGCACTAAGCGGATTTTTTCTTACATCAGTTTAGTGTCACATTAGCGCTGTTGTGAAGTGCGACCCAGGCCCTTAACCGTTCCAAATGCCATTCAATTGGCTCTGCTTACGGGGGCGACAGATCACATCAATTCAATTCAGTCCAATTCAGCCCAGATCGGATCAGATCAGTTTAGGTATTCCCGCCTGCTTGCTGCCACATTTCATTACACATCACATATCGAAAACATGTACATTTTGTTTTGCATTCAATAACATCTTATATAGGTCGCATATATAACCCCATCTGATCCATATCGGTGTGCTGTTTGAGCTGCCTGCAGCGTTAAGCTCAGGTTCAAACTTACATAAAATGCTTCAGCAGAACGCAACTTATGAATTTCTTGTTATTTTGTATTTCTTCTTTTTCAAAACTCATGCTTTTCCTTTTTTATGACACTGCGATGCTATCAGTTTTTGTGTATTTGTCTTTGTTGCTGCCCTTTGTCAAGATTTTTGCTCGTTAAATTCGGCGCAAGCTGCTCGATTCATTGGATGAATCATAAAGTCATAAAGGTATTAAAAAGTCAGTTCTTACGTTTTGTTGTTGTTGGTTTGTTCCCGGTTCGAATTGAATAGTTAACGCTCCGGCTTGTTATTCAATTACCAGAACTGTGACAAAACCGAAAAAAGTTCATAGTATGAATGGAAAATATAAACATTAAACTTTAATTGTAGGTATTGCAAACGATTTATTGAAAAAGAAAATAGTTTTTTTTCTTTCATTATATTTTCAATGAAATTATATAATTCGTTAGCTATTTGTCCCTCTAGATATGACATAATTACTGCATTTTATTTGCATTAGGGCGCGATTGCTGCTTTTAAAGTCACTCCACGGAGGCGTTTTCGGCTTCACGCGGGCGAATCATCATCTGGACGCTTTTCATGGAATAGCTACGGCCATGCCAATGATGCCAATAAATGCAGCCGTTTCCCTCCAAATTATTTGATTTCTCCATTTGGCAATTGAAACTAAAACCGTTCAGGTTGCTTAACGATAGAGGAGAGAAATATTTCAAATATTTTCCATGACAAAACTTTTCGATAATAATACCTGTCACCGCAGTGGAAATACCACCAACCGCCTTTTAGAGCTTGTGCGCAGTTAACTTTCGAATGCGTATCATTATCCTGATCTTGGGTTGAAAATGATTTTCCTATATGTCCTCTCAAAGAATCGCCAGCATTTCCGCTGTATTCGCCAGTCGACACCAATTTGAATTTTTCCTCCTCACTTCCGATTACGAAATTATCATATCTGGCAAAGCGGACTTCGTCATTTTGATCAACAAGCTTTACATAGAGCTCATGTCTTTCATTGTTTGTCATTTTATGCAATTTCTGTAGACCAATCCAGTATTCACCATCGGCTGTCCCGAATCCTTCAGCATATTCCGACCAATCCCTAAAGAAGTTAACACTTCCATCTAAGCGACGCTGTATTACGGTCCACCCTACGCTTGCAGCCACCGAATCGCATGCGACGGAAAATGGCGCCTCTCCTTCTATTTCTATTGTCTGTACACGCGCAGGAAGACAACTTTTCGGCAACACATTCGTGGTACAGTCATACTAAAAATAAATCAATTGAAAGAACATACCTAATAATATTATAATAACAAATCTTTATGTCGGCTACTCACCGTGCCACTTCCAGATATAACCGCAGTCACTTTCAAAATTGTTAATAAAAGTGTACATAATTTTAAATCTTTCAACATTTTAGAGCGGTCTTTGAATTTCGTTGCCAAATACAGGGAAATGTCCGACAAATATGATATAGAATTGAACTGCGCAGTGCTTAATAAACCTATTTTTCAGGAAGTGTTACGCTAACGTTATAATAGAAAATATTAAAATTGGATTAGATTTAATTATCTGCGCTTATGCAACGGCAAAAAAAGCTTGTCTAAGTTCTACTTGATATTTATTTAATTCACTTAATACGCGTTTTAAGTAACGCAAATATATCATAAAAAGTGTTTTGAAAGGCGACTCTACTTTGAGCGATTACTACTGAAACCCAGTTGTGTTAAATAATGCAAGCAATTTTTTTACTTCACTTCCCTTAAGAGCAATTATATTTGATTTTATTTATATATATATTTTTCTGTATAAAATACGTATAATACGTAAAACGTAATGTACTAAAACACAAATATATCATACATACATATCAACTTATTCAATAGCCGATCTGCCCAGATCTTAAATTTATTGTTTATTGTAAGAATGAATTATTATTTGAACAGTTGCGAGTGAGTAGCTGCGACCAGTAGATGCAGTCAGTTGGCTTTAATTTATGTCCAACGCCCAAGTCCCAAAAACAAAATAAAGCATTTATGTTTATTATTATAAATGCTATATATGTGAGGCTTCAACATTTTGTAACTGGAACACTAATAAAGTAATAAGTCTTTTGTCTTAGTATTGCATTTTATTTCTGCTTGACCGAAAAGTGATTGGCCAAATGAAGAACAGTGGTCAATGCTTAGAAATCGGTCCAAGTGACATTTTCATTAAGGCAAGGAAACTTGTCAGTAACATTAAATGGCTCAAATATACCAGTTAATGATTCTGTAAAATACCTAGGAGAGTATATGGACCGAAGACTCACATGGAAGCTTCGTATAAAATCGAAACAAACGCAGCTCAAAGCGAAAAATTGAAAAATGTACTGGCTATTAGGACCGCGCTCGCAACTGAGTCTTGAGCACAAAGTTCGTCTTTACAAGGCGATTCTTAAACCAGTGTGGACATACGCTATGCAACTATGGGGAACAGCAAGCAACTCCAACATAGAAATCCTGCAAAGGTAGCAGTCTATGACTCTAAGCACTATCACAGGCGTTTCTTGGTATATGATCAACTATGATATTCATAAAGACCTAGACATGCCCTTTGTCAGAAGTGAAATAAGTAGATGTGCTATGAGCACAAAAATATCTTGGCTCTGGATCTCTTACTCAGTAGTATGGACACACGACGATTAAAAAGATTACACGTACTAGGTCTTCCACACATAAATTAGGTTATATACACAAACTATAATCGCTATATATAAATATATAAATATATATAAATCTGTGTGTCCTGACTGGCTGACTGATTGATTGAAGATCAACGCCCACCCCAAACCGTAAGAGCTAGGAAGCTGTAATTTTCACTGTAGTTACCTTATGTGATGAAGGTGCACGTTAAGACGGGGTTTTGGGAAATTCCACACCCGCACGTGTGTAAAAATCGCGGAAAACGTTCGCATGATCCGATCGGCTACAAACACATATTCAAAGATCTTTGTGCAAATTCATCTGACGGGCATTTCAAGTTTTTTGGGAAATCCATCCCTCCTTGGTGGAAATGGGGGTTAAAGATCAATCATTTGAGACGTGCTACAAATTTTTGTCAAAATCAAAGCTTTCAGGGTGAAAAGTGCAACTTGACAATTATTTTGGTAAATTTTTAAGTTCTGTCCGATTTGCTTCGAACTTATTTTCAAAGCTCTACATAGGAACTTAATGAATACGTGTTTCAGCGGTTTGAGAAATTACACGCAACAGTGGTAAATTGGCGGCAAACGTTTTTATGAAAGTTGTTTGATTACCGCCCGATCAGTGTCAAAATCATTTTTAAAGCTTTTTGGGAAAATTTTTTTTATACGTGCCAAGGGCTATACCCGCTAGTGTAATATATATATATTGTTTGAACTCATTGGAGCTTAAGAAATCCTGCTATTAGTTGCTTAGCAATTTGTTAATTTTTCTAAGACAGATTACAAATAAAATACGATAGAAAATAAAAAAGTTAAAAAGTTAAGTTAAGTTAAGTTTAAACTATAGCTAGCCTAAGAAGAGTATAGCGGTGGCTGTTGAGGCCTTCGGATATTAAGCTAAGGATCTGAGTGTAATTTGGGTGTATATGTACATTTATTTATTTACTTTTTTACATGTGGGATAGTTTGGTTAAATCTACAATATTATAATGTAGAGCTGGCTGCTGAGGCCTTCGGATATGTATCTAAGCATCTAAATGTAATTGGGGTGTATTTATTTCTTTACAAACAGAATAGTTTAGAAAACCCTATTGCTTACCAAAAAAGGCATACGGTTATGTACAGAACATAAGTATAATTTGTTCTTGTTACTAACTGAATTTGTATACCCTGAACCCAATGAAAATGGGTAAACAGGGTATAATGTTTTTGTGCAAATGTATGTAACAGGTAGAAGGAAGCATCTCCGATCATTTGAAGTATTTATATTATTGATCAGCATCAATAGCCGAGTGGATCTAGCCATGTCCATCTGTTTGTCCATCCGTCCGTCCGTATGTATAAACGCAAGGATCTCAGAACCTCTAAGAGCTGGAGACTTGAAATTTGGTGAGTAGGTCCTCCTAGTGCCCGCGCAGATCACGGTTGTTTCCGATAATCGATAACTTGCCCCATTTTCAAGTAATCGATAAAAATCTTTTTCGAAATCCTATTTTTGAGAATATTGGCTAAATAATAAGAGCTAGAGCCACCAAACTTGAAATTTATTTTTTAGAATAGTATATAAATGTCAAGTATTTCTCATGTTATACCTATCACCACCTCCCCGCTACTACCTCATACCTATAAATCAAGTTAATAAACCAACTTGTATTATCATAATTTAAATGCAATTGACTTTTTGAGAATACACTAATATTCTATAGTACAATTAGATCGACTGTAGAAAATTTCATCAAGATCGGTTAAGAAACACATAAGTTATTAAAGAAAACGTGTTTTGGCTGGCCCCTTGCTTAAGGCAGCTAGCGCAAATTTTAAGCTTTTCTGTATACATGCACACACACACACACACACACACATTGATGCGTGTCTTCTTTGAATTCTATCAACAGCATGGCAATTGCGATTGTATTGTTTTCTGTGCTACTATTTTAATCTGTTATTTTTCTCAAGTCTCAAATAGTGGCTGTTTAGTAGAGGCGGCGGCAAGTAATGCGTTCGGTTGCGAGCTCAAACACTACCAAGGAAACTTTTTTTTAAATTTTTTATTACTACTAAAGCAAGCGAGCGCGTATCTCGAGCTGCATTTGGTGTTGGAATAAGCGGGTTCGGGGTATCCCCTAGTCGGGAGCTCCCGACTAGAGCCTCTTACTTGTTAAGATTGAATTTTGTATATCGTTAGTATATCTCTATATATAAAATTGTTTGTATTGACTGACTGACTGACTGACTGACTGACTTACTGATTGGTGATCAACGCACAGCCCAAACCGTAAGAGATAGCAAGCTGAAATTTTCACTGTAGTTAGCTTATGTGATGTAGGTGCAGGTTAAGACGGGGATTCGGGAAATTCCACCCGCAAGTGTGGAAAAACAGGGTTTGTATGTAACTTTTTTGTTTACCATCCGATCGGCCTCAAACTTATTTTCAAAGATCTTTGTTGAAATTCATTTGAGGGGTGTTTCACACTTTTCGAATAATCCGTTCCTCCTTGGTGGAAATGGAGGTCAAAGATTTGGTGGGTGACGTTTCGCACTCAAATTCATTTCCAGAACTCTATAAGAAAAATCATTTGAGACGTGTTTTACACTTTTCGCAGAATTCAAACTTCTTCGGGGGGAATGGGATTTAAAGATTTTTTGGGCGAAGTTTTAAGTTGTGTCCGATTTGCTTTAAGCTTATTTTCAAAGCTCTACATAAGAACTTAATAAATACGTATTTCAGCGATTTGGGAAATTCCACCCGCAACAGTGGTAAATTGGCGGAAAACGGTTGTATGAAAGTTTTTATACCCTTGCAGAGGGTATTATAATTTTGTCGTGAAATGTGTAACACATAGAAGGAGACATCTCCGACCCCAAAAAGTATATATATTCTTGATCAGTATCAACAGCCGAGTTGATATAGCCATGTCCGTCTGTCTGTCTCTCCGTCTGTCTGTTTCTATGCGAACTAGTCTCTCAGTTTTAAAGCTATCTTTATGAAACTTTGCTGAAGTCCCTCTTTCTGTTGCACGCAGTTCATATGTCAAAACCAGCTGGATCGGACCACTATATCATATAGCTGCCATAGGAACGATCGGTCGAAAAGTAGGTTCTTGTATGAAAAACATTTTTGTTTATAAAGTTATCTTTACTAAACTTGGTATTTATTAGTTTTACTACGTTCCCCATATATATGCAAAATCCAATTAAGATCGGACAACTATATCATATAGCTGCCATAGGAACGATCGGTCGAAAATTAAGTTTTTGTATGGAAAATTTTTGTTTTTCAAGATATCTTGACCAAACTCGGTATTTATTAATTTTACTACGCTCCCCATATATATGCAAAATCCTATTAAGATCGGACTACTATATCATATAGCTGCCATAGGAAAGATCGGTCGAAAATTAAGTTTTTGTATGGAAAATTTTTATGTGTTTCAAGATATCTTGACCAAACTCGGTATTTATTAGTTTTACTACGCTCCCCATATATATGCAAAATCCTATTAAGATCGGACAACTATATCATATAGCTGCCATAGGAACGATCGGTCGAAAATTATGCTGTTGTATGGAATTTTTTTTGTTTTTCAAGATATCTTGACCAAGCTCGGCATTTATTAGTTTTACTATGCTCCCTCCACTTATGCTAAATCTTATTCACATCGGGCTACTATATCATATAGCTGCCATGGGAACGATCGGTCGATAATTAAGTTTTTATATGGAAAATTTTTATGTTTTTCAAGATATCTTGACCAAACTCGGTACTTATTAGTTTTACTAAGCTCCCCATATATATGCAAA